AAAATGGTTTGAATTTCTTTTACCATCTCTTACCTTGCTGTGTGGCATCATCCTGATTGGGCTGACACTCCCCCTCCCAGATATTGCAATAAATATAATTGAAATAGTAAGTAGAGACGTTGCTAATGCTATCGAAATGGAAGAAGTCGGCCTGTGCCGAGACAGCCCAGAGCAGCAGGAGGAAGCACCGCGCAGACATCGCGAACAGGCTGACGTGAAGCGGTCCAAACGACACTGAACACGAAGTCCCGTTTCTGCTCTCCCATTTATCTGAACGCGGTGGTCCACCGGCGGCCCGCTGTGACTGGGATACCCCTCCCCGCCCCCGACAACCTCTCCCTGAACTGAAGCCAAAGAGGGGGCGCTTGTTGTGTGGTTCGCTGCAAGGCGGAGGGGCGGTTACTACCCCATTCCCTACTGCTCACGTCCAATTTGAGCGGAGCGAAGCCTGTACTGCAACGCCATACGGCAAATATCACGCTACCGAGGTAAGAGGTTTGCGTGTCCACGGTCAGCAACGCTAGCTAGATATTCCCGCCCTTGGGAGGTCAGCAAGTGACCGAATCGAACTCCTTTCGATTACACAACGTCACTTCCGGCGAGAAGTCGTACAACTTGCTCTCAATCTTATTTACTTTTCATAGTTGTGTCATTAAATTGTACTACGAGACTATTTGCACAACTGGTTTAGTAATATAAGACCAGTTCATTTGGCGCTCCTACCCATCGCCCATTGAGAAAGGGAGGAGAAAAAAAACAAACAAAAACAAAACACAATGCACACAAATGAGTCAATAACAAATATTTTATTGTTACAAATTGAAGTCAACAGGATCAGTTCACAATCCAGATGTAATAGCATGAGCAGGGTCTGAACACCGATTCCTGCAGGTGAAAATCTGTCAACATCACGTTCCAGCTTTTGAGGAAACGGCACCAGACTGCATCATTTAGATTTATTATGAAGTGACAGACTTGTGCTTGATTGTGCTTCAGTGCCTTTGGCTTCACCTGTGTGGAGAAGAAATCATTAAAATACAAGTACAGACTACTAACAGAAGAGCTAACTAGCTATTAATGACCACATGACCTCAGAAAAAAGTGGAACGGTAAGGGTTATAATCAGCTTAAGTCATCTGGCAAAATCAGATCATCACTAGTCCTGTGGCCACCTTGAAATAATCGTGATTCAGGACTGGACAAAGACACTCACCAGGTAAAGAACTTGTTCTTTTCTCCTTCTGAAAAAGAAGAATGAAAAACCTTATTACAAGTCAGCGATTGGCTGATTCATACTTTGTTCACTGGGTTGCTCAGTGACAGACTGTCCACACGAGTGTTCAGGTCAGACATTTGTTGTAACATCACTGAACCCCTTATGACCATCGTGCACTTTTAAGTCAGTTTTCTCACCTCAGTCACTCTGGTTTGGTCCACACTGGGTCTCCATTCCTCACACAGAACAACCTGAAGATATGAGAGCATCAGTCAAACATGCACATCAACTGTAAAGATGAAGGAGTCTACGCTGGCCTGGTCAGCTAGAGCTAATAAACAGACTCCATGGTTTAAAGTCAGTCTGTACTTTGTCATCACACAGGCCAGACTACAAGGATCAAATGATCTCTACTGCAAGAAAGTGATCCCAGAAAATACAGAAGTGGCTCCTTCAGACCCAGCTCTATAAACCTCAACAGCACGGGGCCCATTCTGGGTCTGAGAAGCTAAAAATGACACAATTTCATCCTCACCATGAGTGTTTAATCATCTTCTGAATGGTGATGAGTTGCGAGCCCGCTCGTTCTGTAAAAACAAATTAAGATTCAGGTAAATTTACAGAACCATGCTCACTTCTTTTCTCCAACATTAAAAATCCAGATCAGAGTGTTACAAGTTATCCTCAACTGGATCAGCGACCTGATTCAAACTCATCACATCTGAAAGCTGTTAGCTGCTGTGCAGGGATGTCACCAGAAATGATACCCAACGCTAACATTCGATACCAAAAATCTGAGATCACTTGATTTTCTTTGGTACCATGTACTAAGCTGCCATATTTCTAGATACATTCTTACATATTAGAGGAAATCGAACAGCACAGGAAACACTACCTGTGGAAAAGAACCATTTATGCAGCTGCCAATAGCTCTGCTTAAACTCATAAGGCAGAGTTCTTATTTCGCTATGAATGACGGTACTTTACACTTTTTAGGTGGAGTAAGCGATCAAAGAATGA